CTTAGGTAGTATATACGGTACCCGCGTTTCAGTGTAAAGTGTCGTAATAATAAATGGTAAACAATTTGCCTTCGGCACTCGTGTTTCATGCACGGCGAGCCTCAGTTTATAGGACGTAGAGCGTTTTTAGTGAAGGTTTTGTTGTTCCATTACCCTCAAAAACGTGGGTCGAACTATAAACGAGGAATATCGTAAATTAACGATTTCTTGGTCAAAAAACCAGGGTCGACCTATAAACGAGGGGAGGTTATAGATGAGTATATATGGTATTTTAATTAATGTTTCTGAATTTAAAAAAATATATCTACCTATCAGTGGTAATAAAGTTGAAAACATAAGGACAGCCAATGTTGTTGTTGTGTGTGTTTTTTTACTTGGATGATGAAGGTGTATTTAAATTTGGAAGATTTTAATTTTGTGGGGTTTTTACAGTCTAAATGGGTATCCAAATATGAGAGCCTACTGTAAATAGGTGTCCAAATATGAGAGCCTACTGTAAATAGGTGTCCAAATATGAGAGCTTACTGTAAATAGGTGTCCAAATATGAGAGCCTACTGTAAATAGGTGTCCAAATATGAGAGCCTACTGTAAATAGGTGTCCAAATATGAGAGCCTACTGTAAATAAGTGTCCAAATATGAGAGCCTACTGTAAATAGGTGTCCAAATATGAGAGCCTACTGTAAATAGGTGTCCAAATATGAGAGCCTACTGTAAATAGGTGTCCAAATATGAGAGCCTACATATAAAGAAACAAACATTCCTGCATTTGAGACCAGCAGACAACCTTTAGCAATTCCTCAATAGATGGCGGTGCCACACCACTGCCATTAGTAAACAAACCACACAGCAGCAAGGGTTTTTTTTTTTTCCAATATATCAACAGTATTAGTTAAATCAATAGTTTTATAGTGCTGTATAGAGAATACTTGTAATTGTTAAGTACTGTAATGAGGTAACAGTCTTTGTAAGGGGTTGATTTCAAAAACCTCTGCTACAACTCATCGACTAGCATCCTGGAAGACGCATGGTAATTTTCGAGGTATATTTTTGTCATAAAAAGTGCGTCTTTTAAGCCGAAAAATATGGTAGATATATTCACATATTCTCTTTCAGTGAAGATGAGCCCAGGAGGGTGCAGCGACATTCACTGAGTGACTTAAAGGCAAGGGATAGTCATAACGATCTAAACGACTTCACAAAGAAAATGCGTTTTGGTCGCCATGCTGACCAAAGGTCGTATAAGAAAATGCCCCAATTCAATAAATGAGACATAAAATAAAAGCCACTACTGTACTTCATCACTGTGCTATTAAGTACAAATACCGTATATAATATCCTCGCGGAGGTGAGTATTTCAACAATTAGAACACAAATTAACGGCGCTTTCCTTTGAGTACATTTATAGCTGAAGCGCCAGGCAAGAGATGAGGATCGTGATGCGCATAGTGGGGGGTGAAGGAGGGGGTTTGAGAATTGCAATTAAATGCCAGGTAGCGACATGTCCTAATATTACTTATTAAGTAATTATTAGATGTTTTAATTGCCTGTATGTTGGCCTGGCGAATTGGCTAGGAATTAACATACCTAGGTAGCATTGCTGAGCGTTGCCTTCGAGCTATATCACAAAAACTGTTTTTTAGAAAAAAACTGGTTTTTTCTTAATTTATAATTTTATATTATATTATCTTTATTTCTAAGCCACACTAGAGTATCATGAATTTTCTACAACTTTTATAGCATTAATGTTCCAGAAATGGTTGTGAAATGTGGCACTGTGTGCGTGCATACATGTGTGTGTGTGTGTGTGTGTGTGTGTGTGTGTGTGTGTGTGTGTGTGTGTGTGTGTGTGTCACTAAAACGGCTTGAGTGGCAAGTCAGCCACTCCACACACTATCACTTTCCACACAAACACCCATGCTCTTCATATGTCTTAGTTTATAGTTTTATATTATGTTTTATATATTTACGTATATTATATTAGCTTTATTTCTAACTCACATTAGAGTTTTGTAGCGATTTTTCCACAACTTTTATAGCATTACTCTTGACTTTTAATAGATGTGGAACATAACCTAATTTTTACTATAAGATTAAGTAAACAAACATTTGTCCCCCGATTCATCCGGACATTTGCCAAATCCGGACACCCTCTCCCCCCTAATTGTCCGGAAGTGTGAGGGTTTACTGTACTGTACACAGGGAGACTTACAGTGTGTACTGTACACAGGGAGACTTACAGTGTGTACTGTACACAGGGAGACTTACAGTATGTACTGTACACAGGGAGACTAACAGGGTGTACTATACATAGGGAGACTTACATTGTGTATTGTACACAAGGAGACTTACAGTGTGTACTGTACACAGGGAGACAAAAAGTGAATATTGTACACAGGGAGACTAACAGTGTGTATTGTACACAGGGAGACTAACAGTGTGTACTGTACACAGGGAGACTAACATTGTGTATTGTACACAAGGAGACTTACAGTGTGTACTGTACACAGGGAGACTAACAGTGTGTATTGTACACAGGGAGACTAACAGTGTGTATTGTACACAGGGAGACTAACAGTGTGTACTGTACACAGGGACACTAACAATGTGTACTATACACAGGGAGACTAACAGTGTGTACTGTACACAGGGAGACTAACTGTGTACTGTACACAGGAAGACTAACAGTGTGTACTGTACACAGGGAGACTAACTGTGTGTACTGTACACAGGGAGACTAACATTGTGTATTGTATGCAGGGAGACTTATAGTGTGTACTGTACACAGGGAGACTAATAGTGTGTATTGTATGCAGGGAGACTTATAGTGTGTACTGTACACAGGGAGACTAACATTGTGTACTGTACACAGGGAGACTAACTGTGTATTGTACACAGGGAGACTAACAGTGTGTATTGTATGCAGGGAGACTTATAGTGTGTACTGTACGCAGGGAGACTAACAGTGTGTACTGTACACAGGGAGACTAACATTGTGTACTGTACACAGGGAGACTAACATTGTGTACTGTACACAGGGAAACTAACAGTGTGTGCTGTGCACAGGGAGACTAACAGTGTGTACTGTACACAGGGAGACTAACAGTGTGTACTGTACACAGGGAGACTAACAGTGTGTACTGTACACAGGGAGACTAACAGTGTGTACTCTAAACAGGGAGACTAACAGTGTGTACTGTACACAGGGAAACTAACAGTGTGTATTGTACGCAGGGAGACTAACAGTGTCTACTGTACACAGGGAGACTAACATTGTGTATTGTACGCAGGGAGACTTATACTGTGTACTGTACACAGGGAGACTAACAGTGTGTACTGTACACAGGGAGACTAACATTGTGTACTGTACACAGGGAGACTAACAGTGTGTACTGTACACAGGGAGACTAACAGTGTGTACTGTACACAGGGAGACTAACAGTGTGTACTCTAAACAGGGAGGCTAACAGTGTGTATTGTACCCAGGGAGACTAACAGTGGATGTTTTACACAGGGAGACTAACTGTGTGTACTGTACACATGGAGACTAACAGTGTGTATTTTACACAGGGAGACTAACAGTGTGTACTGTACACAGGGAGACTATCATTGTGTAATGTACACAGGGAGACTAACAGTGTGTACTGTACACAGGGAGACTAACAGTATTTACTGTACACAGGGAGACTAACAGTATTTACTGTACACAGGGAGACTTACATTGTGTACTGTACACAGGGAGACTAACAGTGTGTACTGTACACAGGGAGACTAACAGTGTGTACTGTACACAGGGAGACTAACAGTGTGTACTCTAAACAGGGAGACTAACAGTGTGTACTCTAAACAGGGAGACTAACTGTGTACTGTTCACAGGGAGACTTATAGTGTGTACTATACACAGGGAGACTAACAGTGTGTACTGTACACAGGGAGACTAACAGTGTGTATTGTACACAGGGAGACTAACTGTGTGTACTGTACACATGGAGACTAACAGTGTGTGCTGTACACAGGGAGACTAACAGTGTGTGCTGTACACAGGGAGACTTTTAGTGTGTACTATACACAGGGAGACTAACAGTGTGTACTGTACACAGGGAGACTAACAGTGTGTATTGTACACAGGGAGACTAACTGTGTGTACTGTACACAGGGAGACTAACATTGTGTATTGTACACAGGGAGACTATCATTGTGTAATGTACACAGGGAGACTAACATTGTGTACTGTACACAGGGAGAATAACAGTGTGTACTGTACACAGGGAGACTAACAGTATTTACTGTACACAGGGAGTACTGTACAGGGGAGACTAACAGTGTGTACTGTACACAGGAGACAACTGTGTGTACTTTACATGGAGACTAACAGTGTGTATTGTACACAGGGAGAATAACAGTATTTACTGTGCAGGGAGACTTACATTGTGTACTGTACACAGGGAGACTATCATTGTGTAATGTACACAGGGAGACTAACATTGTGCACTGTACACAGGGAGAATAACAGTGTGTACTGTACACAGGGAGACTAACAGTATTTACTGTACACAGGGAGACTTACATTGTGTACTGTACACAGGGAGACTAACAGTGTGTACTGTACACAGGGAGACTAACAGTATGTACTGTACACAACTAGACTAACAGTGTGTATTGTACACAGGGAGACTAACAGTGTGTACTGTACACAGGGAGGTTAACAGTGTGTATTGTACACAGGGAGACTAACAGTGTGTACTGTACACAGGGAGGCTAACAGTGTTTATTGTACACAGGGAGACTAACAGTATGTACTATAACAGTGTGTATTGTACATAGGGAGACTAACAGTGTGTACTGTACACAGGGAGGCTAACAGTGTGTATTGTACACGGAGACTAACAGTGTGTACTGTACACAGGGAGGCTAACAGTGTTTATTGTACACAGGGAGACTAACAGTATGTACTATACTTAGAAACTAATTAGTTGACACATAGAATTCAGATATTGTCCATATTTGAGTGATTAAATTTAAAACACTCACTTATGCTGTTTTTGTTACCACCAGGAATGAGTGCCTTCAGTTTACAGCCGTTCGACAGACCAGATGGGAACCAGTCATGGAAGGTCCTCCGGCTAGTTCCCCCGAGTTTGATCGCTGTGTCACTCCTCTTTGCCTGCTGTCTTCAGGGGAGTTAAATCCATTGTGGAAGGAAGTTGATGTTGCTGGAGTGGTATTGAGGGTGGGGCTGTTGAACAAAGGGCTTCAGTTGGTGCACATTGTTGATCACCACATTAACATCCTCACTCTCAAGTTCTGGGGAGGTCTCAAGGTAACCATAACTTGTCTAACCGATATTGATTCACAAATCTTCACCATACTGTTAATGAATTTAACTATTTGATTAGTAAGGATGACTTACATATAGTAGTCCCTCACCAACCATGGAAGTTAAGTTCCTGAAATATCCGGTGGTTGGCCAATCTGCGACTGGCAAGACTAAACTCTAATGTGAAATAGGGGCTTAGGTTCCATGGCCGCGAATAACACTCGTCAGAGCTGCAGAAAGACTCTCGGCCAGATTGAAAGGATACACCAGGACTGGTTTGATGAAAATGACCTGGCAATCAATGTACTCATTAATGATAAACGTGCTGCTTTAACCAACTGGCAGAATAACCCTCAGTCTCGGACCAAAGTTACAGTCGACCCTCGTTAATTCGGACCCCTTTAATCCGGATTTCGGATAATTCGGACAAAATCTGAACTTTTTTTTTTTTTTTTTTAGGAATATTACCTCAGGACCTTAAGCTAAAATGCTGGTCCACCCACTGCTGGGATAAAACACCAGCGTGTTTTTGGTTAAATGTAACATCTCCACCACTAGTGTGGGGGATGCAACTTTTAGCTTCAGACATGAAAAATATTTACCATTTACTGCCAGTAAACAATGGAAACGTAAAATATGTACAAATTAGTAATGAAAAGTTGTGCAGTTCCTTCAGCAAATGAAGCTCATCAACTTACAATAGGCTAAATTACCTTACAGCGTGTTTTCAGTAGTCTATGTTGAAGTTATTTGCACAGGCTAACTTATCATATCATATACGGTATCACAGTTCTCATTGATCTACAAAAAATACCGGTAATAAAAATCTTTTCGATATTTCACACTTAATATAATACCCAGTAATCTACTTCAACCTCCCATTGTTTACAACGACGCATGACGCACCACCAGCTGTTGAGTATCAGCTAGACGGTACACGTGTTTTTCGAATCGTTTTCAGTTAAAAACTGTTACATCACATGTATATTTTACCTTAACTGTGCCTGAATGAATATATTCTCGGAAATAAATAGTAGTTTTGCTGAAACGTGATATATTTTAATGTAAAATAGGATAAAATACATGACGAAAACAAAAGATTTTACCTAACCTTCTGATGTTCAAGAGATGTTACTCGTTTTTGTAATAGTTTTTGGTTAAAATACTGTTATATTACAATGGTATTCTATTCATACTGTGCTTGATACAATGCATTCACAGAAATGTAATAATTTTTGCTGAAATGACGTAGGTATTACAGTGGAAAGTGGGATAAAATCGTGACGAAAACAATGACTTTCGCTTTCTTTCGTTCAAAAGATGTTACCATAATCGCTTTTCGATTGGTTTTCAGTTAAAAAACTGTTGTATTACAATAATATTCTATCCTAATTGACTTGATTAAATACTACGATACCATATTTCTGAATATTTTCATTAAAATCCATCCAAATCATTTTCCTTGTCATCGTCTGCAGCACCAAACAGCTTCTCCCAGTCCTCTCCTTGAACAGGGCTAGAGGGTACGTGTTTTTCGAATCGTTTTCAGTTAAAAAACTGTTACATCACACATATATTTTACCTAAACTGCGTCTGAATGAATATATTCTCGGAAATTAATAGTAGTTTTGCTGAAACGTGATGTATTTCAATGTAAAATAGGATAAAATACATGACAAAAACAAACGACTTTACCTAAGCTTCCGATGTTCTTGAGATGTTATTCGTTTTTTTAATAGTTTTCGGTTAAAATACTGTTATATTACAATGATATTCTATTCATACTGTGCTTGATATAATACATTCACGGAAATGTAATATTTTTGCTGAAATTACGTACGTATTACAGTGGAAAGTGGGATAAAATCGTGACGAAAACAATGACTTTCGCTTTCTTTCGTTCAAAAGATGTTACCGTAATCGCTTTTCGAATGGTTTAGTTATAAAAAACTGTTGTATTACAATAATATTCCCTCCTAATTGACTTGAATAAATACTTTAATGGAAATATACAATATTTTTGTTGAAACTACCCACGTTTCAGTGTAAAGTGTCATAATAATAAATGGTAAATAATTTGCCTTCGGCACTCGGTGTTTCAGGCACGGCGAGCCTCAGTTTATAGGACGTAGAGTGTTTTTACTGAAGGTTTTGTTGTTCCATTACCCTCAAAAACATGGGTCGACCTATAAACGAGGAATATCATAAATTAACGATTTCTTGGTCATAAAATCAGGGTCGACCTATAAACGAGGGGGGGTTATAGACGAGTATATACAGTATGCAAGGCTAAGGACAAACTCACTGCATTTTCTTTGAAATATAACGCAATATTAACCCCTAAATCGGTTAATTCGGACAATCGGCTAAAACGGACACCCTTCCCCCCCTATTAGTCCGAATTAACGAGGGTCGACTGTAATACCTTCTGCAAGAAGAAATCGACGGCCTAGTGCAAACTTCGCAATCTAAAGCACGATTGGTTTAAAAATAAAGCATGTGAAACACAAAAATTTGCAGATCAGCACAAGATGCGCAAATTTTTCAGTTCCACAAAATATTTTATGGGCCAATCACTCGTGGCGTAGCCCCCCTCCGCTCATCCAACAGTAACTCCCTAATTAAAGACGATGAAAGCATCCTTCAGCGCTGGAAAGAGCACTACCATTCACTGCTCAAAGGAAACACTGATGTGGATGTCCTGACTACCTCTGAAACTCAAAATTCAATGCTATGGTGGGTGAAATGGTATACAAAGTAAAAATGGTGGAGATCCGGATTATGCTGATGAGAAATCCGAGGGTGGCAAGGGTCTACTGTACAGGTGCTCCTCTACTTACAAACAAGTTACGTTCCTGAGGCTTGTTTGTAAGTCCAACTTTACTCCTGTGGATACCAAACATATTGTAAATATTGAAAAGATTATGGATATTTAGTACAGCTATACCCTTTAATACAGCCTTAAAACCTGGCTCACTGTTCTCCTCTCAGGTTATGTTTGTTCTATCTGGAATTTTCTTCAAAATAGTCCAGTCTCATCCACATTAAACACCTGTTCTGGCAGGTAACCCCCTTCAGTGATGATGTTTGTATCTCTGAAAGTTTGCAAGTTGAACATTCTTAAGTAGAGGAGCACCTGTATACTATTTTAAAACTAATAATTTTTATTACAGTTTGTAGCTACAGTTACAGACAAAATTGTCTGAACACTTGGCAATATCTGGCAACATCTGCTTGATTCGTTTATATCTTTGACAACACAACATACATACTGTATATCGTTTCTCACTCTTTATTTATTTTTTTCATTTTTTATTTGTTTATGGCTATTAGTATTATTATTTTTGTTTTATTTTTTATTGAATTCTCTATTGATTATTAATTTTTAAAAAGTAAATACCCAAAAATGTTACTTGAGTGCAGTTATCAAGTAAATTTATTTAGTTACTTTACAACTCTGGATAACAGTGGGTGACATGAGTGAAGTGGATACAGATGTACAATGATGTCATGAAGAAGTGAGTGTGGTGATACACCCGCTGATAATCAACATGACAGTCTTAACTCTTTACCCCTTCTGTGTTTAATGATATGGTTGTATCTTAAAGAGCTTTGGTTATAGTTGGAAGGAGACACTTCTGTATGGCAACTGTCAAAGCATTACAATATATGGGTTTTAAAGACTGTAGATTGAGAGTGGGTTAATAATATGAGTCATCCACTTTGATATCACTCATAAAATGCAATTTCTGAATTAAAATACATTTTTTTCATGTCAGGAATATGGAGTGGAGAATATCGTTGCAATTGGGTCTGTGATATGCGTGTTGAATGGTAACTGGCGTGGGCATGCAGGTGGAAGGTTTGGAAGCATCCATGTTACAGAACTGACCTTCATTACCTCTTCACCACGAAGCGCCCACCTACTTGAAGCTGTTGCTCATCTGAAAAACAGTATAAAGGTGAGAATTCAGGATGTCTACAGTGTAACAGAAGGAAGCTTAGTGATTTGCATATTTCCACCCACTTGTGTTTCCAAGTACTGTATCTCCAGGGGTTATGAAGCATGAGATCTCATATAGTCGAGCAGAGTTTTGATAAGCACTGAATCCTTTGGGAGAAAACTTGTAAACCTGGTGCCACAATGGTCCCTAATACAACCACCATTCTGAATTTGAATGGGAGTAAAAGCTACTGAGCATCTAGCTTGCAGCTAAACACTAACTGTATGAAAAGTATGACTGACTTTTGGTGATGTAGCTATTATAGGTTACTCATATCATACCTCGCTCCATCCTGTACAGGAGATCCCCAAGTTATAAACAACTCTGCTTATCAAGGTGATCCCATTACAGTACAGTGGTCCCTCGGTTAACGATTTACCTTCCATAAGATTCTTAACTTCGGTTAACGACCAATCCCTCGATTAACGAGTTTTTTATGAGCCGACTTCAACAGGTTTTCGCTTGCATTTGGCGGTCCACCAGCTGTAGTATTAGTCCGCCAATACAGTAATCGGTTTTAGGGCTTAAATTCCTTACTATTTTAGTAAATATCAAGAAGTTTATACTATTCAATAATTTTAAAAGTATAATATTAACTTTTTTTGTCATTTTAACAATTATTGAACATAATTGAAGGTAAAGAAACTAGTTTCTGGCGTGCCATCCAGCCTGTTAACACACCAGACAGGCGTTAGTCTCTCTCTGTTTTCAGTGGAGGTAACATCTTGCTTGAGACTCTCTTCAACTAAACGCTTTTTTTCTGCGTTTCCAAGCAAATTATTGGTCATTTTGAAATATATTTTACATATTGACAATATATAATGCAGTGCAGTGTTGATTTAAAGAAAATAATCTTGAAATACACCAAGAGAACTAAAATTTTATGGGTGAAATGGTGCCATGGGGTGATTTCTCTTCCACCCCAATGCCTTCTCTTCTTCCTTCTCCTCCACCTCCATTCTAATTCCCATCATCATCATCATCATCATCATCCAGGAGCCTTCTACATACACACCTCAAAGTAAGTGTACTTTTCTACCTTTTTTGTTGAATTTAGGCAATTTTCGGTGAGCTGGAACCAATTACCCAAAAACCCATTGAAACAATGGTTTCGGTTAACGAGCAACCTGCTTGAACGGATTGTGCTCGTTAACCGAGGGACCACTGTACATTATATATTGAGCACTGTACTAACCCCCAGGTAGCTTTAGGGTGGGTAGTCGTCAAGGTTAATAAAACTTTTTTTTCTGCATATTATTTGCAATTTGTGTTATGTATCATTTATGGATTATAATTATATTAAGGTTTTTGCAGATAGAGATGGGGTGTATTCACATTTTATTGCAAAATTAAGATGATGCTGAGTTACAAACAAACTGAATTATGACTGGATCCAGGAATGTAACCCATTCATAACTGTACTGTTGTGTGTTGACTCTCAATGCAACCTGATTTGTGATTCATATACAGTATGTAAATTTGCCTTGCATGTACAGTAGAACGTCGATATAACACGAGATAGGTTCCAAGAGAGGTCGCTTTAAACCGAATTCGCACTAAATCAAAGTGTTGTTTCAATGAAATAATTTAGTTTGGTACTTGAAAGAAACACAAAATACTAAAAAGACTGAGAGTCTGCCCAGATGCACATCAGCCCATCTCCTAGAATAAACAAAACATTGTTTTTTTTAATTATTATGTTAAAAAAAACACTCATAAATCAACAGCTAAAATTAAGGGATGCGAAATGGTCTGTTTACTGGCTGGGAAGATGGGGGGGGAAGGGAGGTGAGGTGATATGTTTGACAGTTGATGCCAAGGTCTAGTGCTTATTTATTTATCAGTCCTTAAGAGTGACTTAAAGTTTTTATCCTATAAAATGTCACTGAACTGACATGGGAGAATATAATTAACATTGCTGGAATTCTTATATGATAGTGATTAATTTAAATATAAACATGCAATAGTTTGCACTAGACAAAATTTTAGTACCGTATATCTTGGCCTATAAGGCGTCGGGGTGCATAAGACGGCCCCCCCAAATTTCCATTTAAAAAGTAGCTTTTGAGCTCTATTCGCTGTATAAGACCAGTACCCCAAATGTGACACTTACCCACTGACTCAGTAGTCCTTTACCAACCATCCTTGGTTTTTTAAAATAAGGCCAATTCACTTCAAGTAATGTCATCAAATGTTACCTGCTGGTGTAGTGTAAACACTAGTGACGTCACTGAAGCGTCTGCTATTTACCGGTAACTGGAACTAATGTCTGTGTCGAGTAAAATTTTTCCATTTACTTGATATATATATATATATATATATATATATATATATATATATATATATATATATATATATATATATATATATATATATATATATATATATATATATATATATATATACATATACATACATACATACATACATATATACATATATATATATATATATATATATATACATACATATACATACATACATACATACATACATACACATCATACATGCAGGCGTGCCGCTCTCACCAGACAGTCAGGTCATATTAGTTGTTGCCAACCTCCCTGAACCACTTCTCCCACCGAGTATCAACAGGTTCTGCCAGAAGTTAAATTTCATTTGGGATAGGAATGGAACCAGTGTTAAACAGAGGTGAACATTGGTGAACAGTACTTGAGTCAGTGAGAACAACTCAACAGTAAAAGTAGTATTCAAGTTAACCTTCACACAGTGAGGTCCCAGGTACCCAGTGATGCGGCCCGTGAGACCAACAACCCGCGATGTGTTAATCCATCTCTGATAGGAAGGCCTGGGGCCACACCTCTTACTCCATCTATGAGGGAATTACTACACCACGTCAAGTCCCTCATAACACCATCTGTGAGGGATTACTACACCACGTCCTCATAACACCATCTGTGAGGTTACTACACCACGCTCAGTCCCTCATAACACCATCTGAGAATTTCTACACACGTGAGTCCCTCATAACACCATCTGTGAGGATTACTACACACGTAGGTCCTCAACACCATCTGTGAAATTACTACTCCATGAGGTCCCTCATAACACCATCTGTGAGGGAATTACTACACCACGTGAGGCCCCTCTAACACCATCTGTGAGGGATACTAATGAGGCCTCCTACACCATCTGTGAGGGAATTACTACACCACATCAGGTCCCTCCTAACACCATCTGGGAAAGTTACTACACTACTGTTTCTGTTCCTACATTAATCTGAATGTTCACTGTATGTTCCTTTACCTTCAATGCTTTGGTTAAACCACCAATGTAATATAAGTCATTTATGTCCAATGTATATTTTCAGCCTTGGGCTGCAGAACTTCAATAAACTGTTTATTATTATTATTACATACATACATACATACATTACATATATACAGTTAACCTCACTTTAGTTAATGTAACCTAAATATCTTCAGTTAACAAAAAAAAAAATATTTTCTTCACTTACACTATCTGTCAATCAAAGTACTTACCTTGCCTCCTCTTTCTTTCAACCGCTACAAGTCAGTCTCAACCCTACCCCCACCAATCCTCCCTTCAAGAGACGTTGGGGTGAAAAAATTTAGATTTTAACATTTTGTATTAAATAATACCTCAGATTAAGTTAGATAATATATTGACATTGCTGATTCCTTGTAAAACTAGGAATATTTGAATATAACTGCCATATATTTTGCCACAAAACATAACATACTCAGATTAAGCATTTTATCTAAAAATTTTATGTCTAATGCAAAATATATGATGTTTATATTCAAAATGATCACCAAATTGTAAGAATTCCAGCAATGTAAATTATATTCTTGGCCGGGTAATTTGTATGAATTTGGTGAGCTAAAATAAAATCTTCAGTTAATAAAATAAATATTCTTCACACGGTAACAGATGGTCGCGGTCGTCGGTCCCTCCTCCTCCCTCCCCCCCCACCCCCACCAACGCCCCTACTAGATAAATGTGTGAATACCAGACTGTTTACCTTTTTAGTAATAAATAATAAATCAGACTAGTTAGATATTATAATTGACATTGCTGGATTCCTTGTAAGATCAGGGAATATTTTGAAAGGCAATATCATATATTTGCACAAAAGATAACATATTTACTCAAGAGTAAACATTATATCTAAAATTTGTATGTCCAATGCAAAAATCTATGATGTTTATATTCAAAATGATCATCAAATTGTGTTAAATTCCCAGCAATGTAAATTATATTCTGGCCGGATAATTTAAAAGTGAATTTCATGAGCTAAATTAAAAAATTATACTTCACTGCGGGGTAAAGGGGCACACCCACCGCGAAATGTGAGCATCCTAAGTTCTGGCAGGCACCGTTGCAACGCGGGAAACGGAAAATGTGACCGTAGTGAGGGGTTGACTGAGTATATATATATATATATATATATATATATATATATATATATATATATATATATATATATATATATATATATATATATATATATATATATATATATATATAGATAGATAGATAGATAGATAGATAGATAGATAGATAGATAGATAGATAGATAGATAGATAGATAGATAGATAGATAGATAGATATAGATAGATAGATAGATAGATAGATAGATAGATAGATAGATATATATATATATATATATATATATATATATATATATATACATGCATGCATGCATGTATGCATACATGCATGCATGCATGCATGCACACATACATACACACATATATATATATATATATATATATATATATATATATATATATATATATATATATATATATATATATATATATATATATATATATATATATATATATATATATATATATATATATATATATATATATACAACAAAATATATGTAAAAAAAATAAATGTTAAATGAATTATTTATGGTGCATTAAAGTACTGGTCACTTCAGACACAAAGACGGGCTATAAATAGCCTTCTTTATCTCCCCTCCATCTCACCCTGAGCCAGAGGGAAGGGGTGGTGGTAAATAACATTTGTTTACTTATTTTCCACTTACTTGAAATAGATTTACCGAATTATTTGTTTATTTATTTAAAAGTCATTTACTGAATATTCTATGTAAAAAATATATTTTAAATTAATTATTTATAGATACCGTAAATATTATGATCAGTAAATATATGGTATTACTGGCCACTTCAGACACAAAGACGGGATAAAAATAGCCCATCCCCCCCTCTTCTTACAGCTGCCAATGGGAAGCGTCTTGGTAATTAAATTTGATGTTTATTTTCATTGTCTAATTTATCATGTATCAAAGTAATATTACTAAAAATTTTGTAGGTAGTAGGCAGCTACCAAACAGGTAGATACTACCGCCTGGGTAGATATTGGAAGCATAATGTGTTGTCTAATGGTAGACCCTGCTGCCATATGGCATCACGAAAATTGTGACCAAGTCCCAGGTTCAGCGCTGACCTGACTTTCTGCCTCATTTACACACAATTGCAGTTTGAATTGTTCCTCTAACTTTGACAACACAACATACATGCAGTATATTATTTCTCACTTTTGATCTTTTTTGTACTTTTTGTATTTATTTATGGTTAGTTACTTTAAATAAGGCCAATTCACTTCAAGTAATGGCATCAAATGTTACCAGCTGGTGTAGTGTAAACACTAGTGACGTCACTTAAGCGTCTGTATTTAACTGTCAGTAGTTTCAAGAATTAATGAAGTCATTTACTGAATATTCCTTGTAAAAAAATAAATTTTAAGTATTATTATCAGTAAATATACCGATATGCATTACTGACCACCTCCACGGCTAAAAATAGCCCAATCTCGCGGTCACTTTCCCTTTCTTGTCTCCTCACTGGCAAATGGGGGGGTGCGTGGGGAGGGGTGTGTGATGATAGCTGTGTTTATTACAGGGGTATAATTCTCTTTTATGGTATGTTAGACAGGTTTATAATACATTTTTATTATTTTAATATACCGGGAATCTTAATTTGAATCCAGCTTGCCAAACGTAAGTTTCAGTATAAAATAATTAGTGGTAAGACCTTGTGAGTGGCTTACGATGTTTCCATCACCACTCTTGACAAACTAAACCACAATATTTAAGAGGTAAGAATTTTATACTTGGTGGTTTAGACGACCCCCTAACTTTGGGCAGATTTTTTTAATGTTCAAATTCCTCTTATAAGCCGAGATATACGGTAATCATTTAGTACATTATTTTGAGTACATGTACAGTACAGCTTTGCCCTTAGGGCAGTGTGACGTGCCCAGAGAAACATTAGGCACAAAATTTTAAATATGATGTGCCAGATTGACTCGCACAAAATAGGAAAGACTCGCTTTAAATTAAAACATTGTCCTTTATTGTGGGTGTTACTTTAAATCAATGATCTTAAATTGAATTACTTTAAATTGATGTTCTACTGTAGTTATAACCTCATTAATGCTTCCTTTGATTTGCAGGACATGAAGAGTTTTTTGTATGAGGGCGATATGAAACTAGACGGACAATTTGATAGTCGTGCATTTCTCGCTGAACCTACTTCTGCAGCTAAATGTTTACAAGGAAATATAGGTGACCAGGAATTAGTACATCACGAGAGCACTGATATTTCCAAACAAGCAGAGCGGGACGGCACAACAGATCAGAAGCCTCTCTGTGCTGTAAATGGTGAGGACACTATAAACCCTAAAATGAAGCGGTTGCAGCAACGATCACAGGAAATACGCAGTAAACTTAAGGTCCTGGGACAGTACAGAACACCGTCCTCCCTGCGGAGACTTCATTCGCCGCCTACTGTAGGGGCTCGTAAGCTTTTCCAAGCTCCTTTCAAGCAGCCACAAATTTTTGATGGTAAAGGTGATAAATGTGAATGATTGTGTCACTGCACAGCTCGGGTTTAATAATTGGCTGCTGATTTGAGAGGTAAGTACTTCTTCAGTAAGACTCTGAGCATGAAGACTTAAGCCTAGTCAAGTTTTAATGTGATAAATATTTTTGAATCGGTTGGATATCTAGAGAAAGCCTTAAAGCTGTTACTTTGCAACCTAATGATATAGTATGATTTCTGAAAATTGTGTTATAAGAGATGCTATTACTTTTGTATGGAAAATTTTATTGCTTTGAATAAGTGTTACCATCTTGTGACATGTGTTACATGGTTTTTGTGTTGCATGTAGGAGATTATCAGAAATGTTGATGCATAGTATACACGACCTGGTCCCTGAAGTGTACAGTACATGCTCCTCCTCCTGTTATGGTGCTCCACAACCTTATTTTTTTAAATACTTTAACAATTGTTAGTACAAAGTATACAGTACTATCAAGACTTTAGAACGAGAATATGATCTTATTTTTTCTTACTGCAATGAATACTGTTTATTAGTTTTTATCCATGTTATGTATAGTTTAGTTAACCACAGGTTATTTCTCCTACTGTAACTATGTAATATAAAGCTCTTTATACTGCAGGATGGCAGCTCCACTCAATAACAGGAACCACTTCACAATTTATTTATTTTTTCCCCTGAAATTTAATAAACTGAACTGATAGATATTATCATCTTTCATTATTTCTTCTTTGACCTTTATATCAATGCTAAGCTGATGTGCTAACGAAATTTTTTAAACAAATCTTTACATCCTTTTCCTGGTATGATGATGGGTTTGGACAGACTCTGATTCCCTGATTCTTAGCATGAGAGTCAGGTGGACACTGGATACAGTTGCAGTACAGCATATGTTAAGGCAACACACATTTAGTGGGGTGTGTGGAGAGTTATGCAGTACCTGACAGTAGTCTATATACAGTGAAACCTCGCTTTACGCTGTCAATTGAACCCACGGAGGCCCGCGTAAAGCGAGAAACGCATAAAGTGAACAACATAACATATGGGATTAATTGAAATAGAGACTGGGCCGACCCCCAAACTCCACTTTTTCCAGACACACGTTTT